CCAATTTTTTTTTTTTTTTTTTTTTTTTTTTTTTTTTTTTTTTTTTGATTGTTTACAATAATCTTCTTTTCTCCCAAAAAAACAAACGAAAAATATATATATATATATTTATGAATTCACGAGTCATTTTGGTTTTTGGTGAAAATTGTATGAAGCGTAGAAGGGCGGATGAAACCAAAAAGATCATTGCAGCTCTTCGTGCAGGTGTTGCTGCATTGAGTGTATCTAGTACCGCGGCAGCAAAAGAGCTTACTTGCCGAGATGCACATTTGAGTGCCATTGTGGAATTTTTGAACGACAGTGTCCATCCTGTCATGCAGATTTTTGGTATGCCCGGGACGGGGAAAACTGCTTCTGTCAATCATGCACTCACTCTTCTTGCTCAATCTGCTCCTCCAGGAAGGAAGCCGACGGCGGTATTTCTTAACGGCTACGTGATTCAGAAGAACTCAGATATATACTGGACATTAAACTCTCATCTAAGCAAAGCTCGTCTTGGGCACACTGAAAATTGTTTACCTGATCAGTGTGCCGCATTAATCGAAAAGCGTTTTAGACAGGGTTGGGGTGGCGCCTCAACTCCTTTGTGTGTTATTGTTATTGATGAAGTCGATAAGGTTTTAAAAAGACATAACAAGGCGTTTTTTAGAATAGTGGACTGGTTGAGTTTCCCTTTTGCGTTTTGCAAACTCGTTACAATTTCCAACAGTATGGAATTGGCAGCAGATGCGAAGACAAGAAGTCGACTGGATATCACTAAAAGATTGGTTTTTGAACCTTATAGCTTCTCTGAACTGAAGGAAATTCTTTTGAGAAGAGTTGGCAAAATTAAACCAACATTATTTGCTGAGAAAGCCATCAATTATTTATGTAACCAGACAGCTTCCCATTATGGAGATGTGAGACGCCTACTACAGTCTGCGTCGTCTGCTGTGTGTGGTCTCATGATGAAATTGGAAGAGGGTTATCGTGTTCCTGAAGCACAAGATGTTTTGTTGACTGTTAAAGATGTTCATGCGGTTGTTCGACAAATATTTCATGACCGCTTTGTAGAATTTATTCAAACTATTAGGCTGCCCATACTTTTTATCAGTGTGGCTGTTGTAGCCCATGAGACGAATAAATTGTTTCGATCGAACCCAGGTGATTGTCGTTTATCTTTGGATGGTTTGTTTTTATCAACGAAAAGGGCCCAACAAATCTACAGTGCTTCTCTCGGTGAGCCTCATACTGTTGATTTAACCTATGGGGCTTATTTGGACATTGTGGAAATGCTTCGAGAAGTGGCTTTGATTGATGTTTCAATAGGAGAAGAGCGTATTCCTGTGAAGACGACGCAAAATCTTCTTGAGGCCACAGAAAAAGCGTATGTGTCAATGTTGCAACCATTTCCTACAGTATTGGATGCGTGTCAATTACATGACGTATTTGGCGAAGGAATAAATCCACTCTTCAAAACTTAACATATATGAAGGTCATAGAAAATAGATTTTGTTTTATGCTATGTGCATACCGGCATTGAGTGTTTTTTCTTGTTGTTGTTGTTGATTGTTGGTGGCTTTGATTTTCTCTGTTTTTCTGTATTGCCTTTTTTTCTATTTTATATATATATATATTCAATGAATAGTGATGGTCTCACCCCACGGAGGAGCTGGAGGCTCCCATTTTGCAACCGCAGCCAGAATTTTATTTGACTCTGCAAAGAAGGTGGGTGCGGTGGAGCCACTAGGCGAGACAAGTAAGCGTTATGCACAGCAGTTAAAAAGGATTCAGTCTCAAAGCCAAAAAAGGGGTGGATCATTGGGAAGTGTATCATATAAAGTTGCGGAATTTTTGGCCACTCAGCGAACTCCGAAACCGAATATCATCAGGAACTCTACTAGCATCGCAAAGCGAGTTCCGTTAATTGACATCCCACGCCAGCCTCCAAAAAAAAAGGACGTCTCAATCGCGGTAAAGCCACATAGTGAGAAGGTGCCCCAATTGGACTTTGTTACCAATGAAGAGAAAACTCCAGGTGTACAACCAGCTAGGCCCAAAGAGACGGTGGCACATACAAAAACCTCCCACTCAGAGTCTTTAATTAGTAACCGTGTGGTGCCCACCTTGGATTTTGTTACGGAGCTCAGGAAGACGAAGGTCTCATCGCCTGATGCAAGTACGATGCCATTAGTTGCAATGAAGATGGAGGCGGCAGATACAGAGAAGCAAGAAGAAATTAGGGATGTAGCGACCATCGTCAAACCACCAAAGGCCACGATTGTTGAGGAGAAACCCCTTTTTGAAACCACTGTTGTCTCCGCACAGAAACCGTCATTTTTGGCTGAGCATGATTTGGCCACAGTTTTTGAAAAGGTTGTGCATGTCCCGGAGAAAATTGTCAAGCCAAAAATCACGGTGCCAATTTCTGCAAAGGAACCAAGCGCAAAGGTTCCGCATGTTGAACCTGTAAAAAGTGGAGCCATGTCAGTTGACGCATGGGAACTTCAACGCGAGCGGGAAATAGAGCAATTGCGAAAGTCTCAAGAAACCGCAGAAAAAGAACGACTTGCCATGAAACGAGAGGAGGAACACAAAACGCTGGGAGATGAATGGGTTCAGCATAGAACGACAGTAGCAAAGAAAACAGTGGGACAGACCGATTTAACGACATGCATGATTGAAAAAATGTATTTTTCCAATCAGTGGGAAGCATGTTTTAAATCTTTTGGGCAACTGGTTTCCATTTCAGGCGCGTCCAGCTCTGCGCTCAAACAAGCTGTTCGCATCATGGAAAGTCGACTCAGATATATCCCACTAGAGCAGAGGGAGATAGTGAGATCAGCTCTCTTGAAGGAGTTGAAGCAAAGAAGACTGCATGATGAGGTTGTCAAGTTTGAGCTACGCCACTGCGTTGGGGAGGCATTCCTTCAGCTTTATCACTCTGCTCCAAGCAGCGTGAAGGACACCTTGGATTTTTACACGGTGGCAAAGGCTATTTCATTGCTAGTTAGCGCTGGATCGTGGCAAGAGGCTGTTGAACTTGTTGGCAACTCGCAGAAGCGTTTCAATGATAAAACAGGCCTTCATGAGTTAAGGCTTTTGTTTTCTACTTCCTTCCTGGATAAAGATGCAGCAAAGAGTGTGAAGGAATTTGTATCTGGAACACTTACCGCTTTTGAACGATTTGGGAAGGTGCACAAGCTGCAGCTGGCGAAAATGGAAAAGGGTGCCCACAGACGACAAATGATCTTACAGCTCATCACCTCAAATCATGTGGATGAAGCGATCTATGCCGAGTTGCTTCGAATCACCCCGACTGAGAATATAAAAGATGTGCTGGATGAAATTCGCAAGCGGGGACTTAATCCAGAGGATCCAGCGATTCTTGCCGCTGTCTGTTGGAAGACGTTTGACCCGGAGAACCCGCAGGTTTTGTTCCGAGAAATTGAAAAGCAAGAGAAGAAGACTGGAATTCGACCAGCACACCTGTTAGCCGCTGTCGCCATGGCAAGAGCTTCCAAAACGAGAGAGACGTTGCGATCAACAGTTTCCATCGTAAAGAAGGCACCTATTTTCAAAGCCAGATTTACACTTCGAAAACTGCTTCCTTTGTTGCATGAAAATAATATGCAGAAGGAAATTGTAGAATTAGCAGACTTCTATAAGGATCACGTGCCTGTAGCAACAGCGCTTCCCCAGGCTGTTGCTTTTGTAAACGATGCCCTTCAGGCGGAGGGACGACCCCCTCTCTCAGAACAAACAGTTAGCAAATTGCAGCTGGGTGACAAAACATCGGGGTTGGGCGTTGGATCTACAAAAGCAACAGCACCCACAGAAGCAACAGGCGCTCTAACGGCGGGAAGTGAGATCTCGTCTGAGGCTATGCTTCAATGCGCCAAGGATCGAAATTGGATGAAGGCACTCATGTTGATAAATTCCAGCTTTCCAGCATTGGCAAAAACAGCTGATGCCGATACGCTAACTCTGTTTTACAACTGTGCCCTTAGTGCCTCGGTAGAGAAGGTAGAGGTGGTCCAGTCCATCTACAGTTCCATGAAACAGAGAGGCGTACAAGTCAATGCAACAACGAACAATGCGGTGCTGAGTAGCCTGATGAGGTGTGGGCGATCGCAAGAGGCCATTGAGTTCTATAGTCAAACGGAAATATCCGCGCGAGACTCCAATACACACTCCGTAATGCTTTCCCTCTACGGCAAAATTGGTATGTGGGAAGAGGCGTTGGAACTCATCAAGGGTGCGAGGGGAGGGTCCAAAAAGTTATCACCTATGACCTATACGTTGGGCATTAACGCTGTGCATAGTCATAGTTGGAGCGCAACTTTAGCTCTTTTCCAAACATTGCGGAAAGAGCATGGTGACGTTGCCATTAAGCAGGCGGTAGTGGACAAGGTGGTGCGTTGCCTCTCACAGAACAAACGCACTGTAGAAATACAGAAGTTGGAATTGGAGTTGGCTAAAAAGAAGAAAAAGCAATGATCAAAGAATCATCATATTTTGGTGTGTGTTTTGTTGTGGAGAAAATCCCTTTGTTTGTTTGTTTTTCACTTTTCCTTTTATTACCGGACAGCAGACACACACAAAAAAAAAAATTTGTGTGCTCATATTTTTTGGGTGTTGCGTCGTTTTTGGGGAGTGGGTGGTTGGACATTCAGTTATGAATATATATATATTGCTTTGGGTGGTGCGGCCTTTTCATTGGCATTATTATTATTATTTTTTTCTTTTTTTTTTTTTTTCAGGGCGATAGAATGGGTGGTAAATGCGAGGGTGATTTTTTTTCTTTGAACGAAGGTAATGTCCTAAATAGTTTTTTTGTTTCATGTGTGCGGCTACGATTCACTCCTCTCAACTATGAATTGGAAAGACGCACGGTACATCTGCTCCGACAGATGCTAATGAGCTCTTTTAACCAAACACGCGCTTGGGATGCACTTAGAAGGACGCAGCTGCTTAATCTTGTAGTAGAAGCTCTGGGATCACGTTCACGACTACATTCTCTTGCGTCTGAAAGTACCATTCTTGAAGATTATATGCGAGTGATAGAGCTTGCCGCTGAAGCGAATGCCTTTGAGTGTATGCGCCAAATTACTCTCGACGGGAGCACTGACGCTGGATTGTTTGCCTTTTTTACACTTTTGGTAAGAATTCCTTTGCTTGATGGAGGGTTAAACCTTCATCGCACCTGTTTAAATTCATACGTGCGGACCATTTTGCTTTTGTTGTCGGATGCGAGGAGTTGTATTCTCCTAACCCGCATGAGGCTCTCACCGATGCAGTTGCTTCTTAATTCACTCGCCCAAACCCCTTTAGATCGGCAAGATGTCTCTCTTTTTGGGTTCCGAGGCATAGTTCAGATCCTGCTGGGCACTTCTCAGTTGACCAAAATGTGGGTGGAGGATTTTGCCAATTTCGATGGTCCAGCAAAGTGTCTATCGACCATTATTCAATGGTGCAGCATGAACGAAGACTTAAGCGCTCCCCTGTGTGAGAAGAGCACACTGCTGTTTGATATTCTTTGTCTTTTTCTTTCGCTTCCTGATAGTGGAAGATTGCCTTGTCACTCGCTTTACATCTACCTCATGTCTTTTCATTGGGAAATGGAAGAAATGGAGCCCGATCCATCAGTTTATAAATCCACATTGGGCTTCTTCGGACTTAGGCTTCTTGTGCGGGCCGCTCTTGTAGCCATGAAACGTCGGCGTTTGTTATTTTATTACCTTTGCCGACTCCTCACCTGTGCAATTCGCATCGGTAACGCTGACATTGTGGCGGCTGGGCTTGTTAGTGGGGATATGGTGGATGTGCTAAGGCGATATATGTATTACTGCTCTGAGATGGAAGAAGTGGATGTGGGAAGTGTGATAGCGACCATAGTGCGTCTGAGCCTGATGGTATGTGCCTCGCAGACGAGGTACGTAAAACAAAAAAATGGAGGCTTTCGGCTTTGCGCTCTTGTAGTGGAGCTTGCCTCGAGTCCCAACACGAGGACTCTGCGGTATACTATTCAAACCCTCACTCTGTTGGCCGGCCTTGGGAATGAAGCGTTCTTTTTCACCAAGCTCGTTTCCGCAGGGCTGTTTGAAGAACTTAGTAAACGACTTCAATATTTATCTAGTCCAGGTGAAATTCAGTTGGTGATCGAGTTGTTAAAGGAAGTTTGTACAAGGGTGCCTTCCCTGCAAGGAAGGTTTTTACGGATTTCCGATACTATCGTTGACTTGATGCAAAATGAGGTGAAGAATGGACCGAGACTTCTTCTGGAGTCTGCCGATTTATTGTCTCTTGTAATGGTGCAGTCCCGAGAGGGTGAGTCAAAAATTCAAAAATCATTGCAGCGGCTGCTCACTCAGACAAACTTTGAGTCCATCGGGTCCATCATAACCAGTTGTTGGGCGTTACAGACATGTATACGGTCTGTGAATCTATGTTCAGCCGCACGAGTGTTTGATCTGACGGAAGTTGAGAGTATATTAGTTTGCTTTAGAGACCTTTGTGTGAGTATGGGCTCCATCTTTTGTTTAAAGTTGAGGAACTTTGATTTTTGCGTCTTGTATGATGAAATGAGCGCCTACCACCGTCATCAGAGGGATGCGTGCGGGACGGAGCAGCAGCCGCAGCAGAGGTATCTTCTTATGTGCGATTTTTTATTACTTGTAACGCATCTTATAAGTCTTCTTCATGTAAATGCCCCAGAGAAATCCAGAATAGTCCTTTCTCGTAAGCTTGAAGAGATCATTGTTGCCGGACCGTTTCTTCAGTGCCGATTGTATACATCTATTATTACCCGGGCATTTTTGGGAATGTGCTCAGTTAGCTCTTTTGTTCTTTTGGGCAAAATTCAAGCTTCAAAGGAGCCCTGTATTGACGTTTCTGTGACACGTCAGAATTTAACATCTGGGTGGAAACTTTGCACTTCCTACGGGGACGATTTATTTGCGTGTGAGAAGCAACGTATTGTCTTTCCCGAGTATCTCCAAAGTTTGTTTAAAGTGCTCTATCGACAATCGCAAACGGCAGAGCAAGCCTTACTAGGGGCGTCAATAATATATCTTCTTCTTGATATTTACTCCAACTGCTTGGAAAACATTTACGCCCTGGCGGAGAGAAGGACGGTGACACTGTTGTCAGAGATATTGGCGGTGACAATTGCAGGGAATGAAGGATGCATGAAAAAATGTATTCAACAACTCGTCACAGTTACACAGAAGTTGGGTGCATGCGGCTTTAGTCATCATGCACTGCTTTTCTTGATACAAATGTGTTTGCGTAGACGCACGGTGGATTCTGTGGAGTATGAAAATCTGGCCACCACAACTGTACTTTCAGCATGGAAGAAGATGTTGCAGAATTCCACTCCAAGTTCTCAGCCGATGTCTTTTTTGGGAATATCTGTTGGCTTCCCGACCGTAACAGGATGCCAGATGACTGCCATACAACGCCTCAAGAGTGATATGGGGCTCTATGGTGGAGTAGACATACCGATCCATCTGACCGTTCCAAAGAGCAGAAAGTGTATTTCAGCCGTACTTTGGTTTCTCGTGGAGAAAAGTACGCCCCTGTCCGTAGAAGACGCTGATTTTGTTTTGTTATCACTTTTTATGGATCGAAATAATCTTTCGTTACTGTTGGTTCTCTCCGACGGGGGTGAGTTAAGTCTGAGAGTCGTGTTGCAGGGAAATCGGGGTCAAACTTCAAAGATTGTCCCTGTACCATTCATAAAAGTGCCGAGGGAGAAGTGGTGTATGGTTGCAATGTCAGTACTTTTGGGGCATCGGGCAAAAACATCAATTTATACAAAAATACGCATGGATATCAAAATTTCATTACATGCTGCTTCTCATGATGCCGTTTCATCTTCAACTGAGGCAACCCTCTGTATTGAGATTTCTCTTGGCGTATTGGGAAGGGTGGATCGTTGGCCGTGGAAGGTGTATTCAGTCTGCTTGGGTGCCTCTTGTGCATCTACGGATGCTTGCCCGCAACAATTACTCTTTGGGTCCCTCGGAATGTTTGCGGGTCCCTTATCTAAGTTGGAAAAGACATCTCTGTTTGTGATGGGGAGCGATAATCTTTTTTCCCTTTCTTTCATGGACAGAAATTTTGTCATTGACCTGTATCCCACCTTGGCGAACATAATGGAACGGGAAGAAGGGAAGCTTACGGAGGAACTTATGTTGCTCTCAGCAGTGTGGATACGAAGCGGAATTCCTAACACGAAGGGTCAAGTTCGGTTTTCCAGAGCCCCCTTTCCGTTTTGTAATTACTGCAGCAAGGAATATTTGCCTGTCGTTGTGGGTGTTTTTGGTGGTGAACTCTGCTTAGTGACACAGCCGGAGCGTCGTGGAATTTCCGGTGACATGGCTGAACGACAAGATGCGGATGTAACGTCATGGAGTCCAGCGTTTTACCGCCTGACGAAGATTGGATCCGTGACACGGGTCTCTCTTAGACTCTCCACTGACGAGGAAAATATTCGCCACTTTGGAAGCATGTGGGTGGAAGCAAACGGTCCACGATTTCATTCCGTGACGCCGATTTATTCTGCTCTGGATGCTGTTGGGGGGATTCCGTTTTTTCTCTGGCTGGCTTCGTTGCAGGCGCCACATTCAAAAGCGTTTGAAGAGGTGTGGGAATGTGTATGCGCCATTATACTTGGACACTCACCGGAAAGTCTGTTGTGCCCAACACCATCGCATGGAGGCCGACACCTTGTAGTTGTACTAAGAGCAATGCTGCATGCTCGTATAGCAATATCGGAGAAAACCGCGGCCTCATTGTTTGAAGCCGTTGGACATTGTTTAATTGTGAGGGCAGACCTCTTATCGCTTATGCTTGACTTTACATTATGGTCTCAAGACGCCGATGCGTTTCGCATGGTGCTATGCAAATTAGAAAAATACGCAGTGGATCCTCAGTACGGTTCTTTCAATAGTCAAATTCTTCGGTTTGGAGCAAATTCTCAATTTGGGGTGAATGGGTGTTATGCCTTGGAGAAATTTCTTATGCATCTTCTCATGTATTTTGCGGGTCACACTAATGGTAACTGGGACACTTCTATCATTGGTTGCGCGATGAGCTTTGTGACCGCCTTATGTTGGAGGACTTCTCATCTGAGAAAAATCGTACAGGCCGTCATCTGCCTGTTTATGGGTAACGAGACACCTCAGTTGGTTCTTGTGGAATGGGCGGTTGGACTACTGAATGTCGTCCATAGTGTCATGAGGACGAGTGACCCTGGAAAGTTGAAAGAAGATAAATTTCTTTCTTCCAGTGTTGTGGCCCTCTTGAAATGTTCGGATGAGATGGTGCGGTGCAAGGCCCTCCCCTTGTTTTCTTACTTGCTGATACCGCGAGAGCAAATTGTTGCCGCGGTAGATGTGTACTTGACCCGAAAGGCGACGTTTCCAGATTCTCCTTGTCTCTCTAAGAAGGAGCTTGACATAATTACGGATGTGGTTCGGCGAGGCGCAAAATTAGGCGAAACAGGGCGAGTACAGGCCCTCGTTTCATTTCTTCTTGCGCTTTTTTTGCACCTGCCAACCGCTTTTCAGATGCAGATTATGCAGCTTTTTCGCGAAGTCGTTGAAAATAAAGGGTTATCCTCACGTGACCTTCTTTGCGGTGCTGAGGGTGGTGAGTGTTTAGTGGAGCCGATACCAAGTTACTTGATTGGTATTTTTCCCACCGTGGCAAGTGAAGGGTCTGCCGTGATGGAGCCTTTTATTGAGCTACTCACGGCCACGGCGGTGCAGATGATTAAAGTCTCATGGGGTTCAGAAGATGCTACTTGTAAACATCTGCTCCGCGATGCAATACGGGTCATTTTCCAGACGCTTCCAATAAGGGGCGAAAACGAACATGCGCGTGTAGGTGAGATGGATCTCAATAGAACAGGAATGTTTTTGAATTGCTTTGGTGCGCCGTGCTTTCACATGTTTGCCGTTCTCTCAAAGCGTGGCTGTTCCCTGTCGCTTGTGGACGATTATTTTTCTTTTATCCGCTCCAATGCAGACATTGTGATGCTCTTGAATTGGTATGAGAGTGATGACCGGAGTTCCAATGAGGCAACATCACCGAGTGATACGGGAATACATCATACGATACTTGCTCACACCTACTTGGTCCGACTTGGTAAGGTACTTGCTCTGAAGAGACATCAGACGGGATTACGCCTAACCCTACTTGTTTTGGAGTGTGCCCAGAAATTATTTTTTGAACTACAATTGGGTGATTTGTCATGGATGCCGCGAAAACGCATAGAGAAGATGAGTGAAGACTTATTGCTTTTACAGTGGAGAATTGTTGCTACGGTACTATACGATGCGGAGAAAACCGATGATGATGTGGTGAAGGAATTGATGCTTTTGCACCTTGCCCACAGCGGAGTTGCCGAGTACGGTATTCATTACTCGCCGTGGGAGAAGCATAAGGCACTTGTGGAGCCGCCGGATGGCGCTGACTGGAAGCATTTGTGGCTATCACCAAACACGTTATTGATTGAACTTTTGAATAAAACGCGTGGAGAAGCGTTGAAGGAGTATGCCCCTTGGCTGATTGTTTTGAGGGCCGCCTTTACGTTCCTCTATACCCCGCTGCGTAGCAATTCGAGTCGACTGAGCATGGCTCTCTCTATATGTCGTCTCATACGCTACAATGCCGGTGTCTGGTCCCTTGTCAAACGAGGCGTCTCCTCATGTTCTACAGCAGAGCTGGATGGGGCTATAAAGGCAGATCAACAGGCTTTGGGTGCGGAGGATGCGGCCACGTTCGATGACTCGTTGTGGGGGATTGAACTCTCAAATAATGGGGTGGCTGCCATGGAGAAGTACATTACAACAGCCCGCTCCAAGACCATGCGATCTTTGGAGCTTTATGGCCCGGAGAAAAGGCCTTCTTTGCTCTCTATGGACCCCAAGCAGGCGGTACAATGCCACGATCAAACCTCTGCCAAAATACGTCAGTTTCAGGCCTTTATTTGGAAGGAGGCGGCTCTTTACAAGAAATGTGTGAAAGAAGAGGGGAGTGCGATTATTTCTGCCCACGCTGCCTACCGCTTCTCGTTGCTCCCGTGGTGGGGGCATTGTATCAGTCTCTACTCCAAGAGTCCGGTGCCGTTGGACCGCTGGGAGTTAGATCGATTTATGGGTGCTGAGTGGCAACGCATACGTCTGCGTCGTTTCATTCACAATGTGCGAATGACGGATACAGAAAGCAGCGACCAACTTTTGCGAGGCGTCTATCGAGACGATATGGCTTCTACTGATGATGTTAGCCTTTTGCATTTTTACTCTATCACAGCAGTTCCACAGTTATCAACGGTTGATGGACCTGAAACAGTCTCCTTGGCTGTCAAGTGCAAACTGGTGCTTCCGATGGATCGTCTCCCTATCATTTTGTACATAGCACCAAAGAATATATCGTACATTGTAGATTGGTTTCAGCATAGTCTAATGCAGTTGGAGAAGGAGTCTACTGGCGAATTATTTCACTCGCATGATTCCGGACCATCAACCTTTGCGGAGATGCATGAATTGGAAAATAGATTGCCAAAGACGTTCAAGCACCAGCAAGAGTTACCGTGCCTTCGACGTGTGGTGAAGGTCTCTTCTATACGTGCCGTGTGGCCGCGTCGCAATTTGCTTCAACCCCGTGCATTGGAGTTGCTTCTCTTCAATGGAGAAACCCTGTTCCTTGCGTTCGACTCGGAAGAGATGAAAAAAGCTGTGATTGAAAGCATCACCCACTACGCCCGACCCCACCTTGACAAGAATTTAATGCTGACGGAAAATAATTTGAGGATGTGGCGCAACTGGTGGTGCGAGGGCCGCATTTCCAACTTCCACTATTTGATGTACTTGAACTTTGCGGCAGGTCGCTCGTATGGGGATTTGCGACAGTATCCCGTGTTTCCCCACGTCGTGGCGGACTTTCTCTCTGACACGCTGGATTTGTCATTGCCCACCGTCTACCGCCGGTTTGACAGGCCGATGGGGGCGCAGACGCCGGAACGCGAATCGAAGGCCATTCAAAAGTACGATGAGATGGCTGTGCTACCGAAAACGGAAAGAAATGTGCCCATCGAATTGATTCCCTACCACCACGGCTCTCACTACTCCCCTGTTGGAGGGGCACTTCACTTTTTGGTTCGCGTGCAGCCCTTTTCAGACTACTTCTTGGATATGAACTCCAAGTTAGACGATGCGGGTCGTGTTTTTGACTCCATGGCCACAGCGTACTTCATCTCAACAGGTAAGGATGTGAAGGAGCTCCTGCCAGAGCTCTATTGTTTGCCGGAGATGTTTCTCAATTTGAATCGAATTCCTTTTGGGGTGAAACAGGACGGGAGAATTGTAAATGATGTGCATTTGCCTCCATGGGCATCTACGCCACGTGAGTTAACGCAGAAGTTGCGGCAGGCACTTGAAAGTCGTTACACCTCTGAAAATCTGCACTCCTGGATTGATTTGGTGTTTGGCTACAAGCAACGGGGTAAAGAGGCTGTGACGGCTGTAAATGTATTTCACCCGCTAACATACGAGGGATTTATTGATCTTTCCAAAATTAAAGATCCGGTTCTCTTGTCTGGTCATGAAGCACAAATTGATTGCTACGGTCAAGTTCCTTTGCAACTTTTTACACAGCAACACAAAGCGCGAGGGAAGTCAACAGACCCTTCATTCCTTCAAAGCCCATGCCCAACACTGCGCTACGAGGCCTCCAATTCACGCTCCTGTATCGTGCTTCACCCTGAAAACCTCACACCAATATTAAATGCCTCAAAGGTAGACGGCACCGTCGTTGTATTTCCCCGCACAAGACCTTCCACATCTGCCCGGGGTGCAGAAGAGTCGAGTGAGTGGAAGTTCCCTCTGATCCACCCACGACCTATGGCATTACCAAAGGATTGTTTGGCGTTTACAGTGGTCAATGATCAACTGAAAGATTGTCTTTTCCTTCGGGGGAACTGCATTGTACTTGTGGACGGTAAAGATTTATCCCGCGAAATGTGTTCTTTTCACCTAGGCAACGGAAGGGCCACAACATTTACTGTCGACACGCCGAATGTTTATGTTGGAATGGCATCTGGTGCAATCCATGTGCTGACGATCAACAATGAAGAATGGACGGAGGTGGAGCAACCTATTCAGGAGGAAGTTGGAAACAAAAACAGCATGATGCGTGAGGCGGAAAAAGCACCACAGAAAGAAAAGAAAATGATGCGAAATAGGGGTGCCGTTCGGCGTCGTGTGTTTGTCTTATATGGGCACATGGAGCCTGTGACCGCACTTTGCGTCTCCGCCGAGTGGGGAATTTTAGTTTCCACAGCAGAGGATTATAAAGTGGCGGTGTGGGATACGGCACGCCTTGTTCTCCTCCGCACTATTCCTTTTCCGTGTCCGACAGCAAAAGATCCGGAGTCTCTTTTATCTGCCAACATTTGGCTACAAGGATGTGGCAGCGACGATCCCTGGCTTTATGATCTTGTTGCTGTGAACGCAAAGGAGGGTGACATTATTTTGGCTGGTTGTTCTCTAAACAGCGAGCATGCCGTTCGACTTTATACGCTCAATGGCTCCCTTGTTGCTTCGTATGAAATTGAAGAAGGACCCGCGAGTGCCCTTCTCTCCGTTGGTGGAGTTGTTTTTGTCGCACAAGGAACTGCTGTTCGCGTCCTGAGGGAACGAGATTTACAGTGGTTGTGTAACATCCATCACCCGAGCATTGAGGACTCCATCAAATCCCTGGCACTTAGCCCCAACGGCACGATTTTGGCTGCGTGTGATCGAAAGTCAAATCTTGTCACATGGAGGGTAGGCATCTGAGACAAGGACTCTGCAATGAATCATTTTTTGCGACTACTCCGTTTCACCTTTATTTTGTTTTGCCTCTGCCCTGTTTTTTCTTGTTATTGATTTTGGTGTTGTTTTTTTTTTTTTTTTACTGCTTGACCTCTTCCTCATTGGTTGTGTTGTTTTTCTTTCTTTTTTCTTTCTGTTGTTGTTGTTGTTGTTTGTAGATATGTGTGTATTCCAGCTGACAGTATATCGATGATGTCATTGTTATCACGATGGGGAAACCGAGTTTCTATTTTTGCGCAAGAAGACATGGAAAGGAGTGCTCCATCTAGAGTGGCTGCAGCGTCAAAGACAGCCTCCTTTGGCGCTTTATATTTTATTGTCGCTATCCAGTTTGTTACCGCGGTTGTGTTATTCTTTTGGGCGCACATGGACCTGGAGAGTGGGATTATTCTTCTTGCTCTGGCATTCTCCTTCAACGCTGCGATGGTGTGGAATTGGGCCCCTAATCCCGGGTTTGTTCGGGACTCCGTGGAAGTCAGCTGTGAAGAGGACCGGTCCCTTTTTCACTGGTGCCGCACCTGTCGGCTGTGGCAGCCACTGCGAGCCAAACACTGTGACCGCTGTGAAAGGTGTGTGCGAAAGTACGACCATCATTGTTTTTGGATAGGTGGATGTGTTGGGGAGGCGAACCACCCACGTTTCTTTTTCCTTCTTACAGTTGCAGTGGCTTATCTCGTGTGTTTGTGGCCCAAGTTTTTAAGGTGCTTTAATTTTTTTGATGCCGCCACACTGGACAGCGCCTTGCTTCGCAATGTGGTCCCATTTGTGCTCCTTGTTGTGTGTAGCGTGATGTTCCTTCCGGTTTTTTTGCTGTGGGTGATGCATGTTGTGCTCATCGCCAGGAACCAGACCACATGGGAGTTTTCTAGTTTTCACCGCATCACGTATCTTCACTCTCGACGAGACAATCCATTTGATCGTGGCTTTTTTTTGAATGTTTTGTTTCTTTTTCGCCGCGGGCCCATCGATTGGCACCTCGTCATGAGGCGCGATGACGCCGACCTTGTGTGATCACGTTCCATCCCCCTTTCTCTCTTTTTTACACAAGTGATGCTTCTGGAATGCACGTTGCCTGTTTTTGTCTTGCGGCTGGTGTCGGCATGAGTAGCGCATTTGTTCTACTCCTACCGAATTTTCTCTTTTCCTCTTCATGGTCTTTTACGGCTCATTACTAAAGAAACGCCCTTTGGCCACCTCAATATATACATATTTCTACTGTTGACTGCAGCAATTTGTTTTTTTCTGCCAATTATTTTGGGCTTTTTGTTGTTGCTGTTGCAGTTGTTCACTGCAGAGAAGCGTAGCCGTTCCTGCGCCCACGGCGCCAACAAACACCGAAACAACTCCCGCTAGAAGGCAGAAGGAGCGTGCCGACGGAGGGGAAGAAGAAGTCAAGAAAAAAAAAGGATAAGAGATAGAGAGAGAGAGAAGAAAAAACAGGTTGGTTCACTCATGCCGGCGGAAACTGAAGGGAAGAAGAAGGGCAAGAAGCGGGGGAAGAAGGTCCTTGACCCGATTGCCCTCGAACGTGCCCGCATTGAGGAGGCGGAGAAGCAAAGGCGGGAGGAAGCCATGCTACTCGCCCGGCTACGGGAACTGAAGGAGGAGGAGGAGGCCATGACACTGAAGGCTTCCAATACCGTGGAGGCACGATGGATGGTTTTCCTGCGGGAGTGCAAACAGAAGGAACTTATCGCCGAGATTGAAATTGTCCGGCGCGCGTTTGAATCGGCCATTGACCGGAAGAATGCCGTAATTGAGATGCTCTTCAACGACCTTGAAGAGGTGGAGGAACAGCACCGTCTCGTGTTCCATTCCAACATGACGACAGTGGATGCTCTCATTGAAATGCAGACGAGGCGCATGGCGGATTTGGAGGCCGAGTTTGAGGCAGACCTTCTCGAGATGAAGGCAGACTACGAGAAGGAGATGCTGGAACTGGTCCGCAAGCACGAGCACGAGGTAGCGGATCTCAAGCTTATTCTTGACAACATGGCCTCGGAGGCGGAACTGCTCGAGAAGAAGCTGCAGGAAGAAACATCCGAGGCACGTGATACAGCACTAGAAAAAATGGAGGGGGAGCGAAAACAAATGCAGAATGATCTTGTTAAAATTAGTGAATCCATTAGAGTGGAGTTGGATGCACGTTATAAGGAGTTTATGACAACGGCACAAGTGAACATGAAGGATTACATGGACAAATCTAAAGAGGATGCAGAGACGACAGAGCGTATTGCCTCGCAGTTTGAACGTATTGAGAAGCTTCAGGAAAGTGTGA